TAAAGCTTGTAGAAGGAGTTTTCATTCTCCCCTGATTGTCCTATGAGGCTGCATAACCCCTGACTCTTTGTCTAGACAGCGCTGATTTGCCCTGTGCGGATCACATGTTCTCTCCCATTAAAAAAAAACTCTCTAGCAATACACACCAAACTGAGCATGTGCAGCTCATCCCCAAGGCTCTGTTCTGTTAGCAGATGGATTGGGGACAGCAGAAGAAAGGGAGGATCAGAGAAGACAGGATCACACATCCTTTTTACACAATGCGGAGGATTAACCCCTTAGGTTTCACAGTGAGTATAACAAGCATGCTTTACTGCATATACAGACTGATTTTACTGCTGTGGGTTTAGTGACACTTTAAGTGGTTATAATAATGCTACGCTCACTAGAATAAAAAGGAATGGATTTGAATTAATTTGGATCTTTTGTTATGTTGTTACATTATTTGTGATGTTTCAAATATTAACAAACAACCCAAACTATCACATCATGTTATTCAAATGAACTAAATGAATTTGTTGGGTTTTTTTGTTATAATTTATTTAGGATTAGCTGAAATTCATTACTATTGTGATTTGATACATCTGAATCCCGAAAATTCCGTCCGAATTTTGCCATCCGAATTTTGTTTTGTAACAAAATGAATCGCACATGTCTGTTACCAATTCTATGGGGCTGAACAATGGCTGGTCTCGCTCTGTGGCTCCCCCTATGTTCCTTACCTTACAGTGTCCTCTAGGTGTCTGTTTCTGCTCAGGTTTCCACTGTGTGCCTCTGATACCTGTTCTTATCCTAAGTTCAAGTGAAGTCGCAAGATTTCAAAGTCGATGCAGTGTAAACCCATACTTATGCCCTCTGAAGAGCAATTTGCAGTGAATGTTTGGCAAGTGGTAAGGAGATGTTATGTCACCTCCTCACCACCTATTTTAACCCCTAAAGCCTGATTGGCATTGCTGTTCCACTGTGAAACTCTGTGCAAAAGCACTTCAAACTTGTGTTAACTCAAGTGTTCCACCACTAAGGTATGTGTTAGCTTCTTACCAGAAGCATACACTCACCTGCCAGTTTATTAGGTACACCTTGCTAGTGCCAAGAAAATATCCCCCACACCATTACCCCACCACTACCAGCTGGAACTGTTGAGGTAAGGATGGATCCATGCTTTCATGTTTACGACAAATTCTGTCCCTACCATCTGAATGTCGCAACTTAAATTGAATGCCCATTCTCCTCTGACATCAGCAAGGCATTTTCGTCCACACAACTAGGACTCACTGGATATTTTCTCTTTTTCGGACCATTCTCTATAAACCCTAGGGATGGTTGTGCGTGAAAATCCCAGTAGATCAGCAGTTTTCAAAATACTCAGACCAGCCCGTCTGGCACTAGCAAGCATGCCATGTTCAAAGTCACTTAAATTCCCTTTCTTCCCTATTCTGATGCTGGATTTGAACTTCAGTAAGTCGTCTTCACCACATCTAGATGCTTAAATGCATTAAGTTGCTGCCATGTGATTGGCTGATTAGCAATTTGTGTTACCAAGCAATTGAACAGGTGTACTTAATAAAGTGGTCAGTGAGTGTATGTTTCACCTGATGAAAATGTAGACCCCTACCTACACAGACTGGATAAAGTAGTACCCCATCTACACAGACTGGACAATGTAGAACCCTACCAACACAGAATGGAGAAAGTAGAACCCCACCAACACAGAATGGATACATTAAAGCCCCACTTACACCAGACTTGAGAAAGTACAACCATACCTACACAGAATGAAAAAACTAGAGCCCCACTTACAAGGACTGGAGAATGTAGAACCCTACCAACACAGAATGGATAGAGTAGTACCCCACCTACACCAGACTGGAGAAAGTAGAACCATACCTACACAGAATGGAGAAAGTAGAACCCCAACTACACATAATGGAGAAAGTAGAACCCCACTTACACAGAGTAGAGAAAGTGTAACCCCACCTACACAGACTGGAGAAAGTAGAACCCACCTACAGAGAATGGAGAAACTGAAGTAAAGTGTGTGTAGACTTTTAGCTGTACAGAGACAGGAGCAATGCAAACATATTGTGCTAGGACCTGTAATTCTTCAGAAACAAATGCTATATGAGTGGGGTGTGCTGGGACTTGTAGTTACCAAGACAAGGAGGGAAAGTACAGTATAGTGTGCTGGGGGTGTGGTGTGTTGGTTTTACAGTTCTCTATAGATAGGACTGACATTTGGGGAGCATACTATAAATATCTGTATGTTTTGCTGGGTGAACATGAATAGTATATATTCAGTGTATTTGGAGTGTGGCAGCACACAGTGGATGTAGTTATATTTACAGTCTACATCCCTTACTCACCTGTCAATCTACATATGCTGGATTACTGTCACTAGAAGTGGCGCATTACTGTCACTTCTAGAAGTGGCGCATAGCTTTACCTTATTTTACCTTTACGAGTCATTGCAACCATTGGTGGATTGATGGAGAAGGGGCATATAATCAAGAACAATGTCATACACTATCTCATTGCAGATCTAAGCTACATGTCAATCTCTAAATTTCCATAGTTTGTAAAGAGTCTTCTGATCAGTTGGATCTTCTTCAAGGTTTTTTACTCATAGGAAAGGTGTCCAATATGTTATATTGCAGTTTTTCTCTAGGTGTCTCAATACTGTAATGCCAAGGTTGTCTCTATGTTTGATGGATTGAAGAAATACAACCAGCCAAGGTGTCATTAAAGCCACAGTTTATGAATAATGACAAAGCCAAACTGCAGAGGAATAAGAATTGATATTTTACTATAATAAGTCAGTCAATGTTCTACCTGAGCTTCAGAAAAATGATATCTCCTTTAGATCAATCAACAACTATGCAGTGTAATGGCTTGCCAGACTGGATAAGTAAGGTAAGTCCTCCTATTGTACAATTTTGGTAAATCTAAAGGAGATTGTACAAAGATTGTAAAATCAGATTGTATAGTGCATAACCATCTTTATAGTCCATTACAGCCAGGGTTCTTGTTGTTTTTCTACACTTACATATGTTGCTGCTGTCTTTGTTTTAATGTGGTTGTAAAGGTAGAAGGTTTTGTTACTTTAGTGCATTCTCTGCATTAAGGTAAAAAAAACTTGTGATTAGTCATCCCCCCAGACCCCTAAATAGTTACCTGAGCCTGAACTCGATCCAGCACTGTGCAAGAAAGCTCTCTCCTCTCTCTCCTCACTGGACATGGAGGTGGCAACAGGAGCCTTTGGCTCCTGTTGCTGCTGTCAATTAAATCCTATAAGGAGGGAGCTGTGGCAGGGATGAGCTGCACTGTGTGTGTCAATAGAGGCACACATACCAGCTTGGGATCGAGCCAGCAGAAGTGCCTCATAGCAAGCAGCTTGCTATGGGGGCACTTTGAAGGGAGGAGGAACCACGAGCACTGGTGGGGGACCCTAGAAGAGGAGGATCAGGGTTGCTCTGTGCAAAACCATTACACAGAACAGGTAAGTATAATGTGTTTATTTTTTGAAAAGAATAATTGAACCTTTAGAATCACTTTAAAGCAGAATTCTACCCATAACAACTTGATAAAAAAATAATGTTCTTTAGCAAGGAACATTCTTTCCACATTAAAAATTATGCTACCAAAATTAGTGTGCGCTATAAATTGCCTCCAGCATTTTTCCTATTTCTTCTTGCTGGAGGCTGCCATTTTGCTGAACGCCAGAGCCTCTGAGCCTGAGCAGCAGTATATATTTAGGCTGTCAGCAGATTGACTTCTACATTTTCGGCACAGTGCCTACAAAATAGAGAGTAACTGAGCATGTGCAGTGTCATATTTATTTTTGCCACTAGGTGTCTCACTACTGTGATAGCGAGGCAGTAAGTAAACCTGATGGTTCATTATATACATGATATACTGTACAATACATACCATGTGAGGATGTTTTGTGCACCATTAAGGGATAAGTTCACCTTAAATAAATCATTTCATTCATTAATTAAATAATACATTTTATAATAGGAGCTGTAGAGCATTGCACCCACGATCAGCAGACCACAGGTGCAATCTCAGGGTCCTGCAGACTGTCAGTGTAGCTGTCTGCCTGTACCACAAAACTCTGTGAATAAATGCCATGGCTAGGTAGGCAGAGTGGAAGATCCTCGGGGAGGGATGGAAGATCCCTGACCTGCTGCTACAATGGGGACTCGGGGGGTGAGGGGGCTGTTCAGTTAGTAATATAAACCCTTAATATGGGTGTAACATGTTACTAAGGGGGAATTATCCTTTAAAACACCCAGGTTATGCCTTACAATGTGTGTCAGCAATCAGAGACAAGAGTGACTATCCAGGGTTGTATTCTATATGTGCAAATATGTATTTGATATGCATGATATGTGCCTTTATTACACCTCCCTCCCCAATACCCAATACTTTTTAGCATTTATACATAATACATGTTTACTTACCGACAACACCATCGTGCCCAACACCGCACGGTAAACACCTTTCTAAGTGAAGAGTCATTACCCACTTGCCTTCCTGAGGATTTACCCGCCTTTCTGAACAGGCCATTTTTTGCGTTATGGCACTGCGTTACTTTAACCACTTGCCTACCGGGCACTTATACCCCCTTCTTTACCAGGCCAATTTTCAGCTTTCAGCGCTGTCGCACTTTGACAATTGCGCAAGATGCAAGATTGTACCCATATGAAATTTTTTATAATTTTTTTCTCACAAATAGAGCTTTCTTTTGGTGGTATTTAATCGCCGCTGGGCACTTTACTTTTTGCGCTATAAACAAAAAAAGTGCAAAAAATGTGAAAAAAAAAGTTTCTTTGTTTCTATTAAAAATTTTTTGAACGGGTAATTTTTCTCCTTCACTGATGTGCGTTGATGAGGCAACACTGATGGGCACTAATAGGTGGCACTGATGGGCACTGATAGGCAGCACTGATAGGCAGCACTAATGAGGTGTCACGGATAGGCGGCACTGATAGGCAGCACTAATGAGGTGTCACGGATAGGCGGCACTGATAGGTGGCACTGATAGGTGACACTGACTGGTATCACTGCTGGGCACTGACTGGCGGCACTGCTAAGCACTGACTGGCACAACTGCTGGGCACTGACTGGTGGCACTGACTGGCAGTACTGCTGGGCTGCACTGGTGGGTGGCACTGGTGGGCACAGGTAGGTGGCGCTTCTGGGCACAGGTGTGTGGCACTGCTGGGTGGCACAGGTGGGTGCACTGCTGGGCACAGGAGGGTGCACTGCTGGGCACAGGTGGGCGGAACTGATGGGTGGAACTGCTGGGCACCGATCATCAGGGCACTGATCATCAGTGCCCTGATGATCGGTGCCGATCCCTGCTCTGACAACTGCCGGTTCTCGGCAGTACTTTTCTCACACTCTGACAGCGTGAGGAAAGTGCAGCAGAGAACCGGCAATTGCTTTTCCCGGTTAACAGCGTGTCATTGGACACGGCTGATCACGTGGTAAAAGGCCACTGTGATTGGTCTTTTACCATATCATGTGAGCAGCTGTGTCCGTAGGACACAGCGATCACGGAGATCCCCAGGTGCCCCCCCCGGGGGCACGCAGGAGAGCGTGTTCTGGGAGGACGTCATATGATGCCCTCCCAGAACTGGCCGGCCGCAGTGTAGCCATTAATCGGCTATCTGCGGTTGGCAAGTAGTTAATTGACAATTGCACGGTCATGCAATGCTGCTCCCAAATGAAATTTATGTCCTTTTTTCCCCACGAATAGAGCTTTCTTTCGGTGTTATTTGATCACCTGTGCATTTTTTATTTTTTGCTCTATGAAAAAAAAAAGACCGTCAATTTTGAGAAAAAAACTGTATTTTTGACTTTTTGCTATTAACCATGTCCCGTAAAAAAAAATTGAAATCAAATTTCGGCATAAATTTAGGACAAAATGTATTCTGCGACATGTCTTTGCTAAAAAAAAATCCCAATGTATGTAAATTAATTGGTTTATGTGAAAGTTATAGCGTTTGCAAATGGCGGTTTATATACTGGGATATTTTTTTTTTTAATTTTTTTACTAGTAATGGCGGCGATCAGTGACTTACAGCGGGACTGTGGTGGACATTGACACTGGGGGGAACTGACTTGGTGTCATGACATCCCCAGTGACACCAATACAGTGATCTGTGCTAATAAAAAGCACTGACACTGTACTAATGGCCCTGGACAAGAAGAGGTTAACATCTGGGGCGATCAAAGGGTTAACTGTGTGCTGTGTATGTTTTACTGTGGGGCTGTGTGTTAGTGCTTCACTGTAAGCACACTGCTTTGCATGGCTGTGCACAACCATGCAAAGTAGTGTGCAGGAGCTGACAGGGGAGAGAACTGTTTTGTTTACTAACAGTTCTCCCCCCATCGGAGATGCTCGGCAATCACCAGGCGCTGGCGAGTAATCACCGGCCGGGACCCGGTGATCGATAGCTGCAGCCACGAATGGCAGAATGGGCATTCTAAAGCCAAAACAGATAGTTACAGAAAATCCCCCTGAAGTGAGTGAATCCCTTGTTGTCACCAGAACTAGAGTCCCCACTGGAAACTATTTCCACTATTCCTGCTCTGGGGGGGCAACCCAAAATTTGGGATTTTCTTTTACCTTTCCGTGATAATTGTGAACAGGACAAATAGAGAGGGAAAATCTCCCTAATGGGGCACAGACAGCACTAAAAACCTGACAGGTGCCCTAATCTCTCTCCATCCCATCCAAATCTAAAAGAAAAATTCCCTCTAGTTATAGTTGAAGTAAATTTAACATATTAAGGACATTTTTCATCCACAGCCACAAAGTGCAGAAAACCAACATCCAGTTTCAAAACAACCTTTTGAAATACAGCTTAATATATATATACAGTGGGGGAAAGTTTGGGCACCCCAGCTAAAAATTTGTATTAATGTGCATAAAAAAGCCAAGGAAAGATGGAAAAATATCCAAAAAGGCATGAAATAACAGATTAGACATTCTTATAATATGTCAACAAAAGTTAGATTTTATTTCCATCATTTACACTTTCAAAATAACAGAAAACAAAAAATGGTGTCTGCAAAAGTTTGGGCACCCTGCAGAATTTATAGCATGCACTGCCCCCTTTGCCAAGCTGAGATCTGCCAGTGTCATGGATTGTTCTCAATCATCGTCTGGGAAGACCAGGTTATGTCAATCTCAAAGGTTTTAAATGCCCAGACTCATCTGACCTTGCCCCAACAATCAGCACCATGGGTTCTTCTAAGCAGTTGTCTAGAAAACTGAAACTGAAAATAGTTGATGCTCACAGAGAAGGCTATAAGAAGATAGCAAAGCGTTTTCAGATGTCAGTATCCTCTGTTCGGAATGTAATTAAGAAATGGCAGTCATCAGGAACAGTGGAAGTTAAAGCAAGATCTGGAAGACCAAGAAAAATATCAGATAGAACAGCTCGCAGGATTGTGAGAAAAACAATTCAAAACCCACGTTTGACTGCACGATCCCTCCAGAAAGATCTGGCAGACACTGGAGTTGTGGTACACTATTCCACTATAAAGAGATACTTGTACAAATATGGTCTTCATGGAAGAGTCATCAGAAGAAAACCTCTTCTACGTCCTCACCCACAAAAATCATCGTTTGAACTTTGCAAATGAACATATAGACAAGCCTGATGCATCATGCAATCAGGGCTTTTTTTTCTCAGAGAATAGGTGCAGGAAATCCCCCCTCTAACCCACCTCTTGTCTCCGTCCCCTACGCACCTCTGAGCACCATCCCTTGGTTTCACCCCTACTCACCTAACAGTACCACACCTTTTAGACCCCCCCCCCCCCGCAGCAAATACAACTCCAGCAACATTAGGCCCCCTGCAGGAACAACAAGTCTCCCAGCAGCCAGCATTATTAGACCCTCCAGCAGCCAGCAACAGAAGACCTCTCCAGTAGATCAGCGATATATCCCCACCAGCAACAATATACCTCCATGCAAAAAAAGGATCCTCACCAGTGATAATATATGCCCCAGCATCCAGTATCAATAGAGCTTCCAGCACACCCCAGCACCCCAGGCCATTACATACACTCAGTGCTGGAGGTACAGGAACTGCGTTCCCCCACGTTCCCCGCTGAAAAAAAGCCCTGTGCACAGTACACTCTCCCCCATCGCAGCAAAGACTCACTAGCTACACCAAAATGGCCACTGAGATTATCACTTTAGTAGTCCTCAAAGAGGAAGGCTCATCAGCCATTTTGTTGTAGTCTAAGTCCTGGAAACAAGACATAAATATATGGAGTATTTGTTTACCAGGATTTAAGGGTGACAGAGAAGGCCTACAGGTGCGGCATTTTCATTAAACAATATTTTTTACAGCATGTGTATTTTAAACTACAGAGGCCTGTATCTGCATTGGCCAGTTTAAGTAAAAGGTGAACCTAGCATTCAAGGTATAGTACCTGCTCACCTGGCAAAGTAAATGTTGCCTTAGCTTAGTAAATAAGGTGATGCCATGTTCACTCTGACCTCCGAAGTATGTGCAGAGGAATTGAAAAAAAAAAAAACAGCACTGTTGTTTGCACATGGCTGGATGACTGAAGGGAACTTAGATTCACATTATTTACTCAGGTAGGTGAATGTTCACTTTGATATGTAACCTGTCTCTACATCTTTAGTAAATAAGGTGATGCCATGTTCACTCTGACCTCCGAAGTATGTGCAGAGGAATTGAAAAAAAACAAAACAGCACTGTTGTTTGCACATGACTGGATGACTGAAGGGAACTTAGATTCACATTATTTACTCAGGTAGGTGAATGCTCACTTTGATATGTAACCTGTCTCTACATCTTTAGTAAATAAGGGGATGCTGTGTTCACTCTGACCTCTGAAGTATGTGCAGAGGAATTAAAAAAAAAGGCACTGTTATTTGCACATGACTGGATGACTGAAGGGAACATAGATTCACCTTGCTTACCCAGGTAGGTGAATGTTCACTTTGATATGTAACCTTTCTCTACATTTTTAGTAAATAAGGTGATGCTGTGTTCACTCTGACCTCTGAAGTATGTGCAGAGGAATAAAAAAAACCCAACCCAGCACTGTTATTTGCACATGACCGGATGACTGAAGGGAACTTAGATTCACCTTACTTACTCAGGTAGGTGAATGTTCACTCTGATATGTAACCTGTCTCTACATCTTTAGTAAATAAACCCAAGAGAATGAAAGCCGTTATAAAAAAATGACAGTTTTTTTGCAGTAGATTTCGCTTAAATATTATCACCTACCGGCACTTGATTTTGTGCCACCTGCACCTGAGTATTTTGAGAAAAGCAGGCAGTCATTTATTTTCAGCACTGAAATTACCTCCACAATTTTTTAACACAATTCACTTTCATTTTACTTATATTTGGTGTAGAAAGTTATTTTTAGATGAAATATGGAAATATAATGCTTTGTCTTATTACTATACATTTTAAAAGTTAAGTATGTCTTTAAAGTTAATGCAGAGATCATACACACTGACACAAGATATGCAGAAATCATTTTTTTTATTAGGAGCAAAATTAAATTGCTACATTTTAAATATACTTGAATACAGTTTCAATCTTGCTGGTGTATACTTCACAGGGATGTTGACTCGTAGCTTAAAACTCCTTTTATTTGGTTGTAGGGGTAGCTCAGTGATAACCCTTGGCCAGGGCATCACCAACAGCACAAAAGGCTTTCTCCAAAGCACACTGTAGTTCTGGGGTGAATTCTTCATGGAAGTGAAGAGCCAAGGTAATAATCAGCACATCTGCAAAGCGCTGAAATAGAAGAAACATGTTTAATCTTTTATAAAAAAAAGGAGCTAAAAATCATATCCCACTAATCTGACAAGAGTAAACTGAAATTTGTCATGGGTGAATACACTCATTTTTTTTACCACTTTAACTGTCCTATTGATTGAATAAAACAAATACATAATAAACACATAATAATGTATAGTAGTTCTTCCTCGATTGTAAGCTCTACGGAGCAGGGCCCTCTGTTTCCTCTTGTACCAAATTGTTTTGTAACTGTAATTTCTTCCTTAATTTTGTAAAGCACTGAGCAAACTGTTGGCGCTATATAAATTCTGTATAATAATAATAATAGTATATTTTTAACTGATATAATATAGATAGGTATTTCAAAAACTGTATGCAGTTATTATGAATGTTGGTTGGCTATGCTTAAGCAGACTAATCCAAACATTTTCAAAACAGCTGTTTAAATACTTACGTAAAAGTTAGCTGGATCCACATGAAGTTTGTTAGAGTGGTATTCACCCAGCTTGGCATAATGTGCCTTGAGGTTGTCGAGGTGTTTCAAGCCTTCTGCAATAGCACACAACACCTTTTCGCCATGAGCATGAACCTTGGCATTGTGGCAGATGGCATCAGCAGAGCCCAGGTTTCCAAAGGTGACGAAGTATCTTTGGGTCCATGGGAACACACAAAGAAGCCTGAAAACATAAACAAAACAAATGATTATATTAGTCATATCAGGAAAAAACATAAATATATGTGAGAAGTTTTGCTCATATATGCCTCAAGTGAAAGATGTTAATATTATGTTCTATTATCAACATTTCTAACAGAACTGCAAAATGAACTTATTTTAAGGAGAATAAAACTGGACTCTGTAAAAAAAAATAAATTATGTTCAATTATTTTAAATTGGTTTCATTGCAGCTGAATACCTGGCAAGAGCTTCTCCTCCTACTTTGTGGCAGTCTACCTTGCCCCAAAAGGAGTAATAAGGTCTGAGCCACCCATGGTAGATGCTGTAGATGTGCTTGGCTGAGTTTCTGAGTAAAGAACCTGGTGTTTTCTTCTGCAATCCCCTGAGTTTATATATGTTACATATGGCCCTTCCTATTTCTGTGCTGGTTATCTATTGGTTACAGTGAAACACACTTATCTGAAAAATCTCCTCCTCCATCATTTACCCATCCCTCTCAAATTAAATGTACATTTTAAAAATATTTGTTGTATACAAATTAATAAATTATATAAATTCTGTATTACAGTCTATTAAATATATACCCAGTTATTACATTTATACATAGCTATCAATCAATTGAAGATATGTATTTGAAACACAAACCACATGCAACATATAAAATGCACATGTAAAATGACTACCAAACTGTAAGTGCATTAAAATAAAGTATGTAACTCACTATGTAAAATAACTGTAATTACACTAAAATAGAGTATATATATATATATATATATATATATATATATATATATAGTAAGTGAATCCAGCATTTTAGTCCATGTATTAATACAATTTATATTTTCTTATTTCATTTTTTTTTTTTTTTTTTTTTAAATATATCTGAGTGTGTTAATGTAGCTATATATTTATAAATGACGCAATAGTGCTTGCAACTTTCCACAAAATAAAAAATAAAATATTTGGCCACAATTACCAAGGAGGTTTTCTTTTCTTTTTCCTTTTTTTTTTTGCTTTTTTGACTTGGTCACATACCAAAGCTGCAGTGTGGTTTACATTTTCTTTTCACTGCATGTAAACCAGCAGCACTGTTCTGCACCTAGGCAAATGTTGATTCAGAATTCTGCATATTCTGTTATGTACAATAGTGCTGTACCTAAACTGCTTCATTCAACAATTTTTTTTTGTTTTACATAGAGTGCAATGATAGATACATTCTTAGGTCTTTCTGACCCACAGTTTTAAAGCAGTTCTGTAAAAAAAATGTGCCTCTGCAAAAACGAAAGTTAATACTCACCTCTCCTACTTCTATGGTCTCCATGGCTAGAATCTTCAGATTCCAAAACCTTTTGGAGTTTGTGACAGGCTCAACTCAATTAACATGTATTTTTCAAATACTTAACTATGTAAAATTCACTAAATACTAAAAATAATATATATATATATATATATAAAAAAAAAAATAATATATATATATATACACCACTGAAAAAAATTAAAGGAACACTTTTTGATCAGAGTATAGCATCCAGTCAATTAAACTCCTGGGATATTGATCTGATCAGTTAAGTAGCAGAGGGGGTTGTTAATCAGTTTCATCTGCTTTGGTGTTAATGAAATTAACAACAGGTGCACTAGATGGGCAGCAATGAGACGACCCCAAAACAGGAATGGTTATACAGGTGGAGGCCACTGACATTTTTTTTTCCTACTCCTCTTTTTTGACTGTTTTTCACTAGTTTTGCATTTGGCTAGGGTCAATGTCACCACTGGTAGCATGAGGCGATACCTGGACCCTACAGAGGTTGCACAGGCAGTCCAACTCCTCCAGGATGGCACATCAATACTTGCCATTGCCAGAAGGTTTGCTGTGTCTCCCAGCCCAGTCTCAAGAGCATGGAGGAGATTCCAGGAGACAGGCAGTTATTCTAGGAGAGCTGGACAGGGCCGTAGAAGTTCCTTGACCCATCAGCAGGACCGGTATCTGCTCCTTTGTGCAAGGAGGAACAGAATGAGCACTGCCAGAGCCCTACAAAATGACCTCCAACAGGCCACTGGTGTGAATGTCTCTGGCCAAACAATCAAGAACAGACTTCATGAGAGGGTAGATTAGTAAATACTGTGAAGATGTTTTCTCTTCAGTCACTTAATCACAAACTTGCAAAATCCTGTTTTGTTTTTTAATTTCTCTTACACACAATATGTTCACCTTATTTACTAACATTCACTTTGCAAAGTGAAAATTCTCTTTGCTTTTCTAATGGTTGGATGGTTACTTACAATATGTGAAATTACTCTTTTTTTGCAGCTATTAACAAATGACTACAAAACAAATATTGAGTGCCAAGTCTAATTTTTTTAAAACTTTTCAATAAATTTGGGGATGAGTGATGTATGTTTTGTATTTATTGTATGTATACAGTATATTGTACTATAATGTATATTTTCAGTTTATATACCCCCCTTTCCCCAATTGAGACACTTGTGTTGAAACTATGGTAATGTGTAGACTCATATGTTCTTTATAAGGTGGATGTAATCATGTTGTGATGTACTTTTGTATGCTTTCTTTATCTTTAAAAAGCAAAAATTTCCTAATAAACTATCTGGTTAATCAAGGTTTATATAAGCAGAGTGAAACTTCTAAATGATGGGTCAAATATGAAACTAAGTAATTGTCGTGTGTTAGCTCATTATACAATAAGTCATTTCAACCATTTTTTATAACACAGGTTTTTAGAACATCATGGTAGAAAGTGTCTGGTGATTTTGCTTATCTTTAGATATATTGTAAGGCTAGGTTCACATTAAAACATGATCCGTGCGTGTTTCCCACGCCATGTTCAAAACGCACTGCAGTTGCAATCTGTGGGGGGTGTTAATGTTAAGTTACTGACACCCCAAAACTCCCAACTGTCCCTGATTTGGAACAAAGTCCCTCTGTTTCTCTTTCCTCCTCATTTGTCCCTCATTTTGGTCTTATCTATATAGTTGAATATAAAATGTACTTTTTTTCTTCCAAAAAGTGTTTGCCAGTGCTAAACCTTTAATCCAAATTCTAAATTGCTGCATTTGTAAATTTCAAAAGCCAGTAGTGGTAAAGAACAAAAAACACTAGTGGGTTATACTAATCATTTTGTTTTGTATATTTCTACTTTAAGGGGGTATGGCAGGGAGGTGTGCCCTATGCCTACACACTTTTGCTAATAGGTGTCCCTTGTTTCCATATCAAAATGTTGGGAGGTATGCACAAATGCAGGTCATAAATGCAGTGCATTTGCTTGCACTGGATCGCATGGTATAAATGTACCATGCAATCAGGTTGCAGTGTGTTTCCAAAAGTAGTGAATACACTCAGGGGCGGACTGACAACTCATGGGGCCCCCTGGGCAATAGGGGATCATGGGGCCCCTGTGTCCTTGCCCAAACTCAAAAAAGCCTATGATAAAAGTATCAGGGGCATCTCATGGGGCCCCCTACTGACCCCCGGCCCTCGGGCAGTGCCCAAGTTTCCAAATGGTCAGTCCACCCCTGAATGCACTACTTCTGGTGGGATGCATGGCCTCAAATTGCACCTCACTGAATCACATGGGAATCAAACAGGAATGCAGAGCGTGTTCTTGTGCAATTTGTAATGAGAACTGTCCTTAACTGAAGGCAAAACTTTTTTTTCTAATTTACTGTCAAATTTGTATTGCTTTTAGTGTCCACATTAAGGAGATTCACCCTATCTATTTGTCCTGGACACCATTCCCAAATTTTAGGTTTTCACCAGAACAAGAATAAAGAGGGAAACTTCTAACAGAGGCACAAGTTCTGGCAACCTGGTGACTCCGAGGGGTTTTTCTCACTTTCTGTGACATGTCTGGCAAAAAAAAAGTGTTAGGGGTTATAACCCTCTCTGAGGCTGGGTTCACACTGATGCGTTGCAGAATTCTCAGCGTTTTTTGTGCAAATTCCACACAGCATCAGAATTGCACATGTGTATGTTAAGCTAACTACATCCCAAAATCGGTCCACAAAACGTGGTGCGATATGCATAATCAGATCACATAGGTGTGAATACCCATGTGATCCGATTCTACTGCGGACCAAAAAAAGGGTCCTGCACCTTTTTGGTGCAGGTGCGATGTGGTGCAATTTGAGCCATACAAAATGTATGGCTCCAATCGCATCGCACACAAATCGCATGTGATTTGCACAGGAATGCAGTGCAGTTCCTGTACGAATGACATGCAATATACCGCAACGCATATATGTGAACCTAGCTTAAAGCTGGCCATAGATTGAGTGATTTTCTTTCCTGAAACCAAAAATTATAGGAAAGAAAAATCGCTCAATTCCCCCATCAACACATTGGGGTTTATGTACTAAAGTTGTTTCCTTCTGGTGCAGCTGTACATGGTAACCAATCAGCTTCTAACTTCTAAACCTTTAGCTTGTTCAGTTAAAGGATAAGTTCACCTTTTGTAACATGTTACCTGTTACACCCATAATCAGGGTCCCCGCTCCCCGCTTTGACAGCTAACGGGGGATCTTCTCCCCCTTCGCTAGCTGTCAAGTTAAAAAAAAAAAACACGGCTGTGCGGGGCTCCACCTGCCCAGCTGCGTCACTCATCCAGAGTGTTCTATGAATGAGAGACTACAAGTCCTGACATCCTTAGCAGCTGTCGGCTTGCAGCCTCTACAAACTACCATAGTGCTGTGGAATGCCGCGGTAGTTCATGAATTCTTCCTGTCAGTATATGTGCTTGCTTGTACATCACGTACGGGCAAGCAGATATACTGACAGATCTGCAGGAGACCTGCATGGCACCAGCAATCTACTGATCGCTGGTGCAATGCTTTACAGGCTCCTGCAGACAAAAATAATAAATGCACATTTTTTTGTTACCTGCAAAAAAATATGCATTTATTTTTTTTTACTAAAAGGTGAACTTATCTTTTAAGCTTTGCCAATAAAACCTGCAAGATGACTGGCTTGTATGCAGAAGTGCACAAGATTCTCAGACAACTTGGGTACATTCAGCTTGTCCATACATGGTTCAAATCTGGGCTGGTTCAGCAGGGCAGGGGCAGACTGACCATTTGGAAACTCGGGCACTGCCCGAGGGCTCGGGGTCAGTAGGGGGCCCCATGAGATGCCCCTGGTACCTTTTTCATGGGCTTTTTTGAGTTTGGGCAAGGACACAGGGCCCCATGATCCCCTATTGCCCGGGGGCCCCATGAGTTGTCAGTACGCCCCTCCAGCAGGGTTTAGATTTAAACTACCTATGGCCGGCTTAATTCTGTCCACAATGGAAAAAAAATATTGTTTTACTTTAAGACAAATATATACTTCTATTATATGAGATTGGACTGCAAGAAAGAAAGTA